CCCTCCTTCCTCAAAACATTAGATATTACACACATATTAAAGTTCATTAACTATAACTTCTTTGTTGGCTCGTCCGTCAACCAGGTTTCTTTTCATGAAGAAATTTTCTTCCTTAATAAAGGATTGTGGATTTTAAGTGAAACACAATACAGTAAGCTTCTTACAACTTCAAGGAATTTGATTTGCTATTGTTTTGATATCTTCACCTCTGTTAACTAAAGGGTTCTTTCACAAAAAACACAGACTTTAATTTCTTCCTTTTTTTTCAACCAGTAAGATACCACCTAATATCTCATTCTCTTTCCAGTAACGGTCTGATAGCAGAGGACAATTTTCTTTTGAGATAAAATTTTCTCTCAACAACCATTATTTCTTTAAATTTGTGAACTCAGTGTCTATTGCTTTTTAGATCTTTTCCAGTACTTTCTTCCATGTACAACTGGAATCAGAAGTACTAATATACTAAACAGATATTGAGTAGGGGATTAACTTAATGTCATTCAATCTTTTTGTCCACCTTAAATTTTGTTTTGGGAGTGAAAATTATCTTATTTAGGAGCTGAAAACATTATGAAATTTTGGTTAATCACAGCACACAACAGCAAATTCTGTACAGCGAGTGTTCACAGCAGCACTTGTAATAATTATTTGCAAACAATCTTGCTATATACTATCATACGTATTCATAGCAACAGTTTCTTAACGTTATACCTCAAGGAAGGGACCTGTGCACATAGTGCCTTTTACAACAAAATCTGAATTATGACTGTGGAGTCAAAAACTATCACATTATAAGTAACAGATAGATAGGTTTTTGCTTTACATATTTGTGGATAATTTGCAAGTGGAAGAAATGGCTGGCCCTTTTGACTCAGTCTGAAGTGTGCAGTCTACTAGTAATATAAATAGGACAAAGTTTATTGGTGTGACATTTAAGATCATTTATGGACTAATATGATTTTTCTCTGTAAGCTGAGAACAACTGGAAATGACAGGTGAGGAGAAAGCCCTAGCCATATTATGCAGTAACAGAGTGACTCTGTTATGATAAAGGAGAAAGCAACCCCAGCTCAAGGAATTTTTGAATGAGGCCCCTGTAAGAGAGAGGTTTTTGTACAAGACCTTGCTGGAACTTCCTTCATAATGATGAGAAATTGAAAAGGAGTGGTAAAGTGGTATATGAATAACATAAGCAACAGGAAATTTTTGCTTCTTTGGAGAAATTAAACCTAATAAAGTTTCTATAAAAATTATAAATAATAGATTAGTGTGATGGGAAAATTAAGAATTCTCTTAGAATAATGATAAAGGGTGCAAACTGAATAAATTCAGACTGGAATGAAGCTGATATGAATCTCTGAAAAAAAAAAATCTTGTGTTGAAATAGTGAGGAGGAAATGTTTGTTTTAAAGATTGTGCTGACAACATGAAAAGCATGATTGCATGATAAAAATTACAGCCTACAGTCATCCTTTACCATTTTGTTTTTATGTTGCTGGGTGCATATGTGTTAACCTACAAACTTCAGAAAACAGTAACTTGGCTGTAGTTTATTAAGCTTTACAGTTGTTTGGTTTTAGTTTTGGCTTTCCTGGCACTTACCTTGCCATGAAGAGAAATAGCATATATTATGAATTCATTGCTATTTTTAAAATTTCCACATTGACAGAAAGTTATTTCTAAAGGCAATGCAACCTCATCTACACTGGGTTATAAAGATCTGCTGTAATGAACAAGAGCAGCCCAAGACCTTTGACTTTATTATGTCATGGGTTTATTTGTTTAAGGCAGGAGAAGTGATTTTAAATTGTTTGAACAAGGTCCAATGCAGAGTATCTTTATGTCAGCTGTTATAAATTACACTAATGACAGAACTGACAGTTTCTCAAATATGTTTTTTTCTTTCAGGATGAAGTATTTTATTATAATTAGGAGCTACTTGTTTTCTGTGCACTTGATGCCACTGATTTTCTGCTGCCAGCTCTTGTTAGAAGAATGTCTGTGCACAGAAACTGAATAGATTTGCATCTACAATATGGCACTGGACCCAAAAATTGAAATTAAACCTTATGTCGTCTTGTGGAACTCTTGTCATAGAATCATTGAATGGTTTGGGTTGGAAGGGACCTTAAATATCAGGTATTTTTTCTGTGTTTTTTTTTTTTTTTTTTTTTTTTTTTTGTTTTAGTTTTTGTTTTTGTTTTTGTTTTGTTTTGTTACAGAATCATATATTATGAGATCTATTGTGGTCATCTTAAACAAGAAAAACCATTAATAAAAGGCAGTTAACATTTTTTTTAATATTTCAAATTCTCAGTTGTGTAGAGAGGTCCTAAGTGCTTGTGTGCTCTTAAAAGATTTTCCACGTATGTATTCCTATGAATGTGCTTGCATCTTTTCAAAACCAGAGATCTAGGCAATTTTCTCAGGTCAAAACATATCATGCACCTAATTTAAAACCTAAAATTGAGCTGCAGTTCCCACCTTGATCTTGCAATAGCTTTGGTGCAGACCCAATCAAAGAACTAGTGAAATTATTAGGAGTCTTTCTTCTTTCTTTGATAGGGCTTGGATTAAACTGCTGATGTTTACAAGTACCTATTATTCTGTAGTGTTCCCATATTAGCTGAAAGCCACCTGTGTTTCAAATCAACCAAAAATCACACTGCCACATCAGAAACTTGATAAAAATTCTTTGGATACACAACTTCTTTTGGATATTTATTGCTTATGTCTGACCAGATCCATTTCTATTAATACTAACAAAATTCAAAGAGAAAAGAAAATGAGTAGAGGGAAAAACATTTGTTAAAAAATGATCAGTCAAGGGATGCTGAACTTGCCCATGTGTTGAGAAACTCCTTGTTTATACATGGCTACAGTCTGACTGGAAGATATTTTGAATCTTGGAGATATAAAACAATGAATATAAGAAAAGAATTTGGGGTCTTCCTCTTAGGAAATTTTTTTTGCATCTCTGATCCTAGCATACTAATTTTATGATGACTATGCCAACAATATTATAATTATATTTTTACCGGCAAAAATATGAATATTTTATATTCTTCCTTTTTTTTTTCTTTACTTCATATCTTGTATGACCTTCCTAGGATCCAGGAGTCTTTCTGAGGTAAGTAGGAAGCCAAATTTCAAAGTTGAGTGAAGATGAGGAAGAGATTAATTACTTAAGTTATTGCTTGTATGAAACTTACTGCATTCAAAACCTCACAGTTTTAATTTTAGCATAAAAGTAGACTTCCAGCAAATTCGATCTTCTTTTTTAGAGTATGATATATGTATTTGAAATCCACATCTTAGTTGTCTCAACTACCTGAAAACCTGTGTCACAGTGTTAAGGGAACTAGGTACATGATTCAATGATATTCAAGCTCAAATTTTTTTCTTGATTGTCTTAAACCTCACCTGAACATGGTTTTAAGGTAAACATGAGACAAGTGTTTTATTTGATAACAGGTACAACACAACACCATCGGTTACATACTCTACATAGATCCAATACCTAACAAAGAATTTTGTTTAAAAAATACTGTATGAACTGTATATACTCTATAAACTGGATATAAAATCAGGATTTCCCACTATCCACTTGTGCAGTGAACACTGCTTGAAAGTTGTGACATAGTTGCAATAGAAGCTGTGAAAAGTTGTGAGGGTAAAGGAATATGAAGCTAATCAGGACAGGGTATTAACTGTGTAAAAATGAAGACTCTTTTCTACTCCACAGTCCTTCTTTATGACCTAGAAGAGATTTTATCCTTACCAAGTCTGAAATATGTAGCCATTAAGGGAGGCAGGATACCTGTCTCAGCATGTTTATCTGCATGTCTCTATACATGCTGCACACATTCCCTGTGTATTATTCGAACAGAAATGACTATCAGAGAATAAAAAGACTGCTATCTTGAAGTAAAGGACCCTGGAAAGCCTTGAATCCTACATGTAGTTTTCAGTTAAGTGAAATATATTAGGAAAGAATTGAAACTAAAAACCTCTTTACCCCTTTTCCTTAAAAGAAAAAAAAATCCAAAACAAAAAGCCCAAACTTGTATTATAGAGATTTACCAGGAAATTGAGTTTTCAGATAAGAATAAAAAGACTGTTGACAGTCAAATGTCAAAATGTAGAAAATTTTGACAGTCAAATGTCAAAGCTGTTTGATGTTCTAAGCTGTTTAATGTTCCCAGGAACTAAAAGTCAATCACCAAAATATCTTTTGCACACTGATACATCCAAATGTAAGCAGAACAGAAGGAGACCTGCAAATTCTTGATCCAATAATTGAGAGTGGTGGTCCAACAACAAATGTGGTTTCTGAGAGAGAATTCTGTACCTTTTACAATGTATCATTTAATTAAGGAATGTCCCAAGCATTGCCTCCATAGCCATGTTAAAGCAGAGCAAATAAGTCACAGATTAAATAAATAAATAAAAAATCAGGTTTCCAAAATCGTATCGTTTCATGTCTTAATCTGTCTCAATTTTTTTTCATGCTCTACGACTCTTTTTAATGAAAAAAATTACCTGCCTTTGGTTCTGAGACCCAACCATGACATGAGTTGAAAGTCCAGAAGACTGTAGATTAAGTGAATTAAGACTTTAAAATGCTGACAAATACTATAACTTCATATGAACTGGGAATTCTGACTTTAGTTCAGACAAAGACAACAAATATCACATTAATTAAACTATTGTGTGGTCTTCTTTTTACCGAAGGCACTTTGTTGGATTCTTTGGGGCAGTCTTTTCCCAGTAATGTAAAAAATAATTTCAGAATCTATTTCTTTCATCATATTATTCTCAATTCTCCATAAATTCATTTTTGCTCTTGCTCAAAGTATTTTTTTTAAATGCTAGCATTAGACAAGTTTGTATTTTATCTTCTCTTTCATTCATTCTGCCTCCTGAACACATCTTTTTTTCAGACACTCAGGGACAGCACAATCAGTTATAATAAGTCTTCTTTTTTGCCCTTTTTTTTTTAATAGGTGAAGATCTCACTTAAATCATTAGCATATAAATCAACTTTCAATAAATCTGAGACATAGCAGAAGCCTACAGCAGGGCAGGCATGCTGCTCAGTATGTTTTGGTTATGGAAAGGTGGCAGAGAGTCCCTGGATGTTTTTCAGTAAAAAATATTTTTGCACAAGAGGGTTCCCAAACGACAACTGGCAAAAGACAAGGTAAGTCCTCTTGTATCCTACAAGCAGCAAAGGAAACAAAACAAAAAGGGAAAGACACTTGTAAGGTGCACCTCCCTGGAAACCACAGCCATCTGATATAGGTAAGCACTCACCTGAAATTTATGTACAATGATTCTCAAAATTGTGGAGCTGAAGGTGTCTTCTCAGCTCACTCATGTCTGCTTCTGGATAGATTTGCATGTGAAGATGAGCAGTACTTTTAGTGACACAATCATCAAAACCCTTTTAATAATTTCTTCTTGTAATGATTGCTGCAGCAATTCACATATCTGTGGAATGTAAATCTCAGTCAGTTTATTCAAAAGACAGTTTTTAAATCTAACCACTGTTTTTTATTCTTTATATGAAGACTTTCCAAATGTATATTTCAAGTTGTACTTCCAGTAACTCTATTCCAAAATTGCTCATGAAAAGAACTTGGACAAACCACATACAAACCTTGCGTTAAGAAGCTGACTAGCAGTTTGTTTCAGCACCAAAGACAGAGAACAAAACTGTGCACTACATTAGCCATCCACAAATCCAGTAATTGGGCAGCTGCAACTTGAAATGCTTAGAACCACCCGTATTTTACAGAAATTGAAACAACCCCACATGCTAAGGCACTGTAGCAACATATTGTCTTTCTGTAGTTCTTTGCAGACTGATTTATGGTCAGGAAATTTTGCTTCCTCTAGAGATCGGAGTACATCCTTTCTGAGGGTTTGCAGTTCAAAAAAAATGTGGGAGAGAAGAGAAAGCAATCAGGTACTTTGGCACCCTGCCAGAGTTTCTACTGCCTCCCCACATGGGGGGTCTTTCCTCCAGGTCTGGAAGATGTTATCTTTAAAAGATGAGATACCAAAGGCCTATTGACCAGAGACATTTTCCAGGACACACTTCTTACCTCTTAACAGGTCAGAATTAATTTTAGATTTTCTGTATGAATTTATCTGCAAGTGAGACTTTTCCTAGACAGCTGAAAAAAGAATCCATCCACGGGGATGGAATTAATTGAAAGAAACACTCAGGCAGAAACTTAATCCAAGTAGGTAATCTGTATAAATTCTTTAGTGAGAAAAAAAATCATAGTAGTGTATTCCACATCCAATACTCTACTCTTGAGATCTTAAAACACATGAGGGTAATCAATAGGAAACCGCACAGAAATAATCCTTTGGATGAAATGCAGGACTTTCTGCTGCATAGATTTTGCTTTTTTTTTCTCTTGTTCAACTAAGTGAATTAAGAATGGCATTGAAGGTGCTCTAGATGTGATTATGGCTCACTTTCTTTCAGACATTGTTTATACAACTGCCATTACATACACTAATTTAGAGAAACTAATTTGCAGTTTCTTACTTTCAGGCTGACTTGCAGATTCAGTTATTATTGCTGTACAATACTTTCCATGACTCCATAGGGGAAAGAGTTCTATCACAGGAGCTAGCAGGGCTTGTTGATAGAACTTTAAACTAGCTTGGAAGGGGCAAAGGGACAAAAAACAGGCTCATCAGTGATGAGCAATGGGATGACGTGTCAGAACTTGCTACAGGTATTTGCTACAGTACCACCACCAAAATGTTTCTACAACAATGTGCACAGCATGAGGAACAAACAAGAGGAGCTTGAAGCTTTGTCCCAGTCCCAGAGATTTGACATCACTGGCGTAAGTGAAACCTGGCGGGATGAGACCTGACTGGAGAACCCTGCTGGATAGTTACAGGCTCTTCAGGAGGGATAAGCAGGGCAGAAGAGATGGAGAGGTGTCACTGTGTGTAATAGAGGGATTAGAATGTATGGAGCTCACAATTGGCAATGGCACAATTGAGAGCCCCTGGGTAAGAGTCGAGGGGCAAACAAATAATGCAAATTTCATTGTGGGAGTCTGCTATAGACCTCCCAGCCAGGATGATGGTGCCAACGAATTATTCTTTAAGGAACTAAGGGACATTTCCAAGTCAACTGCCCATGTCCTTATGGGGGACTTCAACTTGCCAGAAATTAACTGGGAGCATCACACAGATGGTACAGCCCAGGTCAGAAGATTCCTAAAAAACCTGGATGGCAACTTTATGGAATAGGTCTTAAGGGAGCTGTCATGTGAAAAGGGAAGATTCCCCCTCCCCTTAGTGAGGGGAGATTTCCTCGACCTGTAGTGTTCGATTTGTCTGTCAGGGCCCCAGGAAAGCCAAGACGGTTGTGTCGAACCAGTCTGTCAGTGTCCTGTTATCAAGACCCTTCACTGATCAGTCCTCCTGGATCGGGGGTGATTTAACTGCCCTTTTTAGAGAACTATGCCAACAGCGTATGGGAGACCCCTCAGCAGGTATTCCCACTTTATTCGAGTGTGTTACCCCCTGCCAGCAATTGCTGGTGCCTGTGAAGGGCTCACATGGACAGTTTATGGAATAGAACTCTTTATCAATATAAAATTGTGACAGGTTAAGGTTCAAAGATTGCTGATGATAGCATCTTACTGCAAAAGCATATTCAAAGCAATAAAATTATTCAGCACAGGTAGAGTGTAGTTCTTACCCCATATGCTTCCCTATATGGGGGGGAAAAGAGAAGTTCAGCCCGTCAACTAATCACAGCAATTATGATGGAGTCTTCTCTAACTTTTCCCTCATTCTTGACTTACTTTTACACTCTTTCCTTATGTTTAAGTGGTACCTGAGTGACTTTAGTCGTAAATATCTTTGTTGCTGATTGATGTAAAATTGTTCTGCTTTCCTTTTAAAGATACAGTCAAAAAATATGAAGTGCACACCCAGTGGGGATGGTCATACTTTGGAGGTGGGTAACTTTGAAATTGAGGTGTGAGTTAATATTACAATTAGGATTCAATGAACCAAGTTCATCCTAGCAGCAACAACATTTGTTGGCTCAGCAGCAGGACATCTTCTCCCCTCTCCCTTGGGTGACAGGTGCTATGTGGTTTATCAACTGTGAAGGACCACGGAGTTCCTTTCTCTGAAAGGATTTCTACAGAGCCATGGTGTCTCCACTGTGCTCCACCCTCCATTCCATCGCCCTTAGTAGGTGCTTAGATGTTGTGCGGGAAATCATTGTGGAACTGCCAACGTCATTCCATCCAGGGAGTAGCAGCTGCATTTTACCCTACAATTTCCTTACCATTGTAACTTCTGTTAGGATGTAAATATAATTTCTCAGTTTCCTCTAATTTTTACCCTCAGCCATCTTCCCACAAGAGCTACTCAGAAAGATGCCCTCCTTGATCTGCTGCTTGTCAACAGATTGGATCTCATGAGACCAGTGGGTCTCAAAGGGGAGATCGGTGGCTGTCTTGGCCACAGCGACCACAAAGCAATCAAGTTTAAAATCTCTGTTGACAGGAGGAAAAGTGCCAGTGAAACCTCTACTCTGGAGAGCAGACTTCGGGCTGAAAAGTGAATTAGTAAGGTCCCCTGGGAAAATGGTGCTGGGGTCCATCAGTGCTGGTCACTTTTCAAACCAAACATCACCTCCTAAGGACACAGGACCCCAAATGTTGGAAGTCAACCAGGAGAGGCAGAAGGCTGGCTTGGCTGAGCAGGGAACTTCTCTTAGAAATAAGACAAAAAATGAAGGAGTCCAGTGGAAGCAAGGTCAAGGGACATGGGAAGATGTTGCTTTTTACTGTAGGGAGAAAATTCATGTGGCAAAGCTCAACTGGAGTTGAAGCTGCCAGAAATGTGGGGGACAATAAAAAGAGTTTTTTCAAATACATTAATGGCAATAAGCAGTATGGAAATATCATTGGCCTGTGACAGTATGAGGATGGTCACCTCACAAACAGGGACAGAGACAAGGCAGAGGTGTTTAACGCTTTCTTTGCCTCTGTCTTCAACATGTATGATGGACGAAGGGGGCCTCAGTGCCCTGAGCTTCATGAGAGGAAAGTCCTGCTTATTAAACCTAATATTCTTTTATGACAAGCTAACCCACGTAGTTGATCTAGGAAAGCCAGTTGATATAATCTTTTTAGATTACAGTAAAGCTTTCCATACTGTCTCTCACAGGATCCTTATGGACAAAATGTCCAGCACACAGCTGGATAAACACACCATGTGATGGATGAGCAGCTGGCTCACGGGTCGAGCACAGAAGGTAGTAGTGAATGGGGAAACATCAGACTGGTGACCTGTCATTAGCGAGGTTCCACAGGGCTCCATCTTAGGCTCTTTGGCATCATCTTAAATGACTTGGATGCAGGACTGGAAGCAATACTAAGCAAGTTTGCAGATGACACAAAAGACATTGACTCCCTCGAAGACAGGGAGGCCCTACAAAGAGACCTCGACAAATTAGAGGACTGAGCAATCAGCAACCACATGAAATTCAACAAGGGAAAGTGGCAGATTCTGCACCTGAGGTGGGGCAATCCCAGATATACAACAGACTGGGGAATGAGATGCTGGAAAGCAGTATCACAGAAAGGGAGCTGGGGGTCCTGGTTGATGGCAAGTTGAATATGAGTCAGCAGTGCCCTGGCAGCCAGGAGGGCCAACCGTGTCCTGGGGGACATCAGATGAAGTATCACCAGCCGGTCGAGGAAGGGGATTGTCCCACTCTGCTCTACCCTGGTGTGGCCTCACCTTGAACATTGTGTGCAGTTTTGGGCACTACAATATAAGAAAGATGTTAAGCCATTAGAGAGCATCCAAAGGAGTGCAACAAAGATAGTGAAGGGCCTTGAGGGGAAGTTGTATGAGGAGTGACTGAGGTCACTTGGTCTGTTCAGCCTGGAGAAGAGGAGACTGAGGGGAAACCTCATTGCAGTCTACAACTTCCTTGGGAGGGGAAGAGGAGGGGCAGGTAATGATCTGTTCTCTGTGGTGACCAGTGACAGGACCCAAGGGAATGGCCTGAAGTTGTGTCATGGGAGGTTTAGGTTGGATATTAGAAAAAGTTCTTTACCCAGAGGGTGAAGACTCATGTCCCTTGGGTACTGGAACAGGCTCCTCAGGGAAGCAGTCACAGCACCAAGCCTGACAGAGTTCAAGAAGCATTTGGATGATACTCTCAGGCACATGGTATGACTCTTGGGGACAGTCCTGTGCAGGGCTGATAGCAGGACTTGATGATCCTCGTGGATCCCTTCCAACTCAGCATATGCTGTGATTCTGTGATATGTAGAAAGAATTCTGTAGAGTGTTCAAGACCAGATTGGATGGGGCTCTGAGCAACCTAGTCTACTCAAAGGAAGGAGTTTTGTAAAAAACAAAGCTAGATCATAGACAGAAAAAGCAGGGCAAAAGAAGATTTAAAAAAAAAAAAAAGAAAAGATGAAGTAAAACATACTTTAAATTATTTAATTCTAATTGTTCAGTTTTCCTTCAAGAATTTTTGGTCTCACATACCTTATGAGTATGCTTTAATATTCCTCAAGAGGTGTTTAGAGAGCAACTCAGACACAGAAATCAGAAAACAAACAGTGACTTTCAAATATTTCTCTGATTTTGAAATGAATAATTTCAATTAATATGTAAAACTCTCACTTTTATACAGCGATTTACTAGAAAAATTTAGAAAAAATTTATAAAAATTTGCTCATATTGTCTGCTAATTCCACACGTTGAGAAAATGTCTCATTTGAATTTTGAAAGATTTATTTACTGGCATTCTTACAGAAGTTTCTGGATATCAAAATGAAACTAGGTCAAGAAAAATATTTAAGATAAACACCCATAAGATTTTATTAGTATGTGAAATGACTTACCTCTTTTGATCTGCACAATTAGGAAGATTCCTGCTGGGGTTTTTTGGACAATATACCACACTAACAGCTTTTGTTGTTTTAGTTTTACACTTCATTTTTCAGGTTTGAGGTCAAGAACTATAAAGTTCTGTGGAAGTGAAGAAAACTGAACATTTCCATATTAAAAGGATGCAGGTATAAATAATGGCAGGAGAGGTAATGGTGCTATGGAAGGCAGTGACTTGGAAAAAGTGTCAGGATAGGCTAGCAAATCGTATTTGCTCTAGTGAGGTGATGTGGTAAAATGGACAAATAATTTTTCATTAGTGGGATGTATAGTCTTTTTTCATTGAATAATGATGTTCATATTTTAAAAAGGAAGAAGAAAAATTATTTAATTATTTAATATTAATGTTCTACAATCTGAGTTTCAATATGGTTAATAGGTTTATCTCCATGAAATTAGATGATTACTTGTGTGCTGTAGATAAATACTTTCTAAAGTAAAAAACAGTAATGTGAATGGATACTGCAGCATTTCTTGATTTAGGAGAGGACAACAAAATGAGAACTTTGACGCTGAAGCCACACACTTGACTATTACAAAAAATAAGACATTCACTGTACAACAACAGATATTACCTCCTTGGAAAGGTTACTGAACAAAGCAGTTGATTTTCCACTTCTTAATAGCTTAAATCAAGATGAAATTCTTTTCTGCAAGAGTTGCTCTTGGTAAACAGAAGCTATGCTTCAGTCAAAGGCAAGCTATTGCTCTCATAAGTGATTTAGTGAGATCAAAGGGAATAGCCTGTAAAACTGGCACAATATAATAGCTC